TGTAGAGTGGTAAAGCCTCCATCGCTATTGGAACAGCCATTGGGCATGAAATTAATGTCCATACTGTAAATAAGTGTATGCTTATTTATTTTGGGGAGAAAAAAAGTATACATATAGTTGAGTCTTGTAGACATTTATTTATACTGTGTCATGTTTTATAATTTATACATAAAATGTCTGGTTGACTGTACACCTTGTTTTTTGAAGAAATTTATTCGTTACGGGAAGAGCAGTGTTATTTATTGTGAGGTCTCTTGCTTGTAAAGTAAAGCTTTTTCTTTTTTTCTTGTAAACTATAAAAGTCCATTCCTTAGAGCTTATCCACATGATCTCATCTCTTTGTTTCACTGACATTAACACTTTTCCACTTTAACAGACTTGCATGTTGGTTTCTGTTATGTTTATTTATTGGGTTCTCTTCTTGCCGGTTCTGTACATAAAAGATCCCTCGGGTTTTTGTTTACAAGGAATCTTGACTGACCAAAAGGCATTGTAACTGACTTAAGTATACTTCTAGGGTGCAGTGAGGCGATCTTTAAGGAAACTTCTTCTATTTCACTTTTCTTTACTTCCAATCACATCATGTGCTAAAGTGATCTCAATGTGCTGAGCATATATACTGTACTATATGAATTCCGGACCCAAAGAAATCGGATTATGAAGGTTTTTAATAGCTACAAGGCTAACTGTAATAAGAATAAAGGTTTTATTTTATTTTTATTGTTTTAATTTCTTGTAACATGCTTAAGTGTTTTATCAGGTGTTTCCTTTAAGAAGGTCTTGCAGTACCACTTTCAGTTTTCTTTTCCCAATCAGTGTGTCACTAAAAGTTATATCAAAGCTTTATCAGTTCAAGTTTCTTGCTTTTCATAATACTTTTTTGCTGATGCGATTTTATATTTTCAAACATGGCGAGTTAAATATAAATTCATTTAAATATATAGTTTTGTACTTTTCTACCATGTAAATGTGCAATGTATATAAAAGTTATAATGTGTATTTGTAAATAAAAGATGAATCAAAAAATAAAAAATGGCATTTTCCCTAGAGGTAGTCCTCAGTTTTTGGGTTCTACAGCATTCTGGCCCTCTGGTGCAGAGAAGACATCTTGGTGGCTAGGGGAAAGGAAACCTGTGCTAGGCAGAGCAGCAAAACACATTGGTTAAATTGGCCAAAGCTTTCAGCTGACATTGTTTCAATATGGTCTTTTTTGTTGTTTGTTTTGTTTTTTTCAGACAGGAGCAATGTCTCCATTTGTATGGGTTAATTTTAAATCTAAGAACAGTGATGGAGGAGACAATAATTGGCATTTTTGTTTCCCTCTCCATCCTCTAAATAAAAAGTCTGCCATTTCTTGGACATCTTTGACTTCTATATTTCTAGGAGGTTTTGAATATGCATTTGAGTTTTTGCTGAGCTTCAAATCCATGTTACTGGGGTTGCAGTTCTATCACCATTTGAGATGACCAATAGAAAAAGTAAAACATGGCCTACTTGCCCAAATTCAGGAAGTGTAACAATTAGCACAAAAGGAAGAAAAAAAAAAGACAACAAACCATAAAAGAGCACATTATCACTTGGAAATTATTTTCTCCCAAAAGGAAGGTTAACTTAGAAGTTCTTCCTGGTGAACCAATATTTAGACTGGACATACATATAGGAGTGGACACTAATACAGTGAACTGAGGAATGGTAACAGCCATAAGCAGAGCAAGGACCAAAATCTGTTTTATGCTACCTGGGTTATGCTGTTCTCCCATACAAGGCCCCACTTATCAAAATTTCTCTATCATACTGCATAAAACTTAAAGCATACTTAAGCACCTTCCTCAGTAGTGTTTAAGTACTTTGCTGAACTGAGGTCTGAGAGAAGTTGATTTATCTATTTTGCTTAAATATAAATCATATTTGAAGGCTGTTCCTGCTATAGTGTTCTGTATACTTTTTACTGTAGAGTAATCTCTAATTTGTTATGGATTATTTAGCATTATCCAAAGCAAATAAAATTTGTCTATGAATACATAGAAACTACAAGTGTGAATTTATAATGTTGTATTCAAAATAAAAGCAAAGAACATCTGCCCTTCATCCTCCTGTTGATTCACTAGGAAAGTAGTCTCTTTGGAAGGAAGTACATGATGAGAGGAGCAAAGGGAGAGGGATTTTGGTCTCCTGAGGGAACAAATGCAGAATAAAAGAGAACAAGGGTTGAGAGGGCAGAAGGATGGTAAAAGAACCTATTGGAAACTCTCTAAAGGAATTAACAAACACATGACAATGAGATAGAGACAAAAATGTTTAATAGATGTGGGAGGAGGATTTTTCTCAAATTCAGATAGATGCCAGCTACTTGATTTCCAACAAAACAACAACATTAACAGACTGTTTTTAATTGTAAATATATGTATGTGTCTTATGGAGAGACTGTAGTAGAGCAGGATTTCTGGGTTCTAATTTTATGTCCTGCTGCTGGTTTACAAAATAACTTTGAGAAACTAACTGACAGTTAAACTCACAAAAAGCAAAATAAATGCCAGGGAGCTATATTTATGGATGTACATGTACATGAAATGGCCACAAAAATCCTCATCAAGTTTTTGATTATAAAATTACTTAAAAGTTCTGCTACTGCATTTCCCATTGCTACTGCTATTACTAGACAGTTGAAAATCTTGAAATCTATCTTGCACCAAAGCCTGCCTGTGATGTACAGATGAGGCATCTCCTGGGAGGCTTCATGAGGTAAGCATCTTCTGAGCATGTCTAACATACAACAGCCTTGCCATGAAGCACAACAGCCCCAGAAACTTTCTCCCAGAAGCACGTCCAGAGGTTGTGGCAGCACAACCCCCAACATTTTACATAATATCATGCTTGTAGATAAGGCAGTTGCTCATGAAGTGGGGGATGCAGGTTCACTGCCAGTCTCCTCCTGAGGAGATCGTTCCCACATTTCCCAAGAGTGCATCCACCACCACCTCAAGGTGAAACTTGGGCTGGAGAACTGTCTGTCATGCCTACTGTACTCCTGCACTGGAAAGGAAGCAAGATTCATTGAGAGAGGATAATTTGCAACCCTAATAGGTGCTCCTTTTGAAGAGGAAGTCCTGGGTTCTTGCCGTAGGGGCTGCCTACACATTTTGCATTTGTAATTGAGTAACATACATAAATAGTGCTTGAAGCAGGGGCCAGAATCCAGGTTGCCTCCCCTCCTCCTTCCCCCAGTAGTGCCTTCATGGCACTTACCTTGAGCTACAAAATCATGTTTAACTCTCTGCTTACATCAAGATTACAAATCTCACTTCTTTTTCTACACCGAGACACAGCTACAACAGGAGAGGTTTTACTTTTTTCATTGTCTCTTCTAAGCTTGTACATGGGGAATTTCCTGGGAAGTGGAAATGTAAATTAAATTCCCTCAGTCTAAGGAAGGTGCTGAATCCATTTTTTTCTACCTCCTGTCCTTTTTTTGTGGGTTTTTGGTTTGGTTTGGTTTGGCTTTGTTTTGCTTCCTCTCCTCAAGCACAGGCTACCTTGGATGTTGTTTAAATAAAGAAAGGGAGATGTCTGGATGTCTAAGATCAAGAAGGTGCTTTCCAGCTCTGAAACCATCCTGCACAGGCTCCTAAAACCAGAAGATAAATACCTTTCTCTTCAGTGTTTTCCATTGTCTGGCATGCATATTCCCCTTGCTGTAAATCACATTTCTGAAACTACTGGTTCACCATGGAGTACATTTTGGTACTGGATCCCAGACCTGCAAACTCCATTCACAACTGCAGGCACAGTAAAACAGAGTGGAGTGTGTATGTTTCAAAACAGAAACCTGTATTCTGGCATATAAGTAAAATCAGCTTAATTCCAAGGGACCCAGCTTGAGGCATTTGTACACTAAGAATATTGCCTCTAAAGCCCTGGTTCCCAAATGTATTCATCTGCACAATACACGCAAACAAGTATACACAATTCTGATCACACTCAGATGCATTCCTCATAGCTGTGTTCATATGGCAGACTTAAGAACAGTATCATGGACCTCTTTTGCACCTTTTACCTCTTTGCTTGCTTTCTGCCTGCTAATACACCTCAACTAAAATGACATTCCAAGCCCCTCAGTAAATTTCAAACAGCTGCCATTTCTTTTTTTTTATGACATAAAAATGTTTCCTTCTTTCCCTCCAAATGGGAATCAGGTGAAATTAAATTTCAGTATGCAGTGCTGTTCTCTAGGCAGTGACATTTTACTATACAATGAATCACCAGCACAGAAACATCTGTATCTTATCCCTTTGAAGAACTAGGATTCCATGCTTTCTGGTAAAGCATAACATTTGTAGAAATTTGACCAATGGGTTCACAAGATATCAGATTTTAAATTCATAGCTCCCTGAAGATAAGGCAATTACATTTTTTGTTTGATATTTTTGTAATTCCACAGCCTGCATGACCTACTATGGCAGTATGAATTTTGCAGATAGTACATGAAAAATAGTACGTGCAAGTTAACTCTTTATTTATTATTTTTTTCTGGTAAACATAAATATATAATGGACCCTAGTGGTTGGATTTGGCTGACACTATGAGGCATCGTCTGTATAGTTCACAATCATCCATTACTTCTAAACAATGTGGCCAATGAAATTATCACACAGTGGAGAAATATGACTTGAAAACAAGGTGTGAGCCCTAATGTTGAGCTCAGAGACGGATTTGGAGTTAAAACCACACGTATGGCTCATTTTCCTGTAATCTACAGGTACATTCTTTTGACTTTTTAATCTTCAGATGGATTTGTTCAACTTCACCATGGGACTGAAGAGTACTAATGTGTGAAAACTTAGAAGGAACTCTGAGTTTTTATAACAGCTAATCAGACCTACCAGATGCTACAGGACAATGAGGTTACCAAGGTGGTCCAGT